CTCACAGACCTGAAGTTATGAAGTGCCCCCAAACTCCCAAGGCATGGAAGAAGGACACCCAGGGATTTTCTAAGAAATGGAACTACCATAACTGTGGAGGTGCGCTTGATGGGAAGCATGTCCCAATAAAGAAACCACCAAATGGAGGATCAATGTACTATAACTACAAGAATCTCCACAGTATTGTACTCATGGCCGTCGCAGATGCAAACTACAAATTCCTGTACGTCGACGTAGGCGCTGAACGAGGTGCTGGATATGGAGGAATGCGGTCTAAGTGTGACCTTAATCAAGCCACTGAGAAGAAGCGAGCCGGATTCCCGGAGGCAATCCCCTTTTATCTGATAAGTGATGATGCCTTCGCCCTCAAGCCATGGCTGATGAAACCGTACTCACACCAATCCCAGGTGCACCATGAGAAGATCTTCAACTACAGATTATCACGCGCTTGTCGTGTGGTAGAAAATCCATTTGGACTCCTCCAAGCAAGAACAAGTGTTTAGCACCATTATGGATCAAAATCCTAAAGTAGTCAAGACAATCACCATGTGTGGATGTGTCATGCACAATCTCATCCTCAAACAATATCCATTTGCTGCTAATGTTGACTACGAAGACGCCCAACACAATCTGGTACCTGGAGCTTGGAGGGAGGGACAGAGTATCATGCAAGGACTTTTAAATCGACGGCGAAACAAAAATACATGTTATGTATTAACATACACTAAATGATATATGCTATTAATACTATAAGTTCCTATGTATAAATTGATGGTAAAGGTATCCATAAGACAGATGAAAAAGTTAGGGCAGTAAATGATGCCAAAGTGCCAGAGAATGTTAAAGAATTACAGTCATTCTTAGGGCTAGTCACATTTTATGGTAAATTTGTTAAGAATCTAGCCACTATTGCTAGCCCATTGTATAGTTTGACCGCAAAAGAAGTTCCATGGAACTGGTCAGTAAAATGTCAAGAAGCTTTTGACAGGATTAAGACTGAAATAACTAAAGAAACATTTCTGGTACACTACAATAAAGATTTGCCTGTAAAACTAGTGTGTGATGCATCGCAAGTAGGGTTAGGTGCAGTATTAGCTCACGTTATGGAAGATGGTACTGAAAGACCCATTGCTTTTGCATCAAGACTACTGTATAAGGCAGGACAGAGATATTCTCAGATAGAGAAAGAAGGATTAGCTTTGGTTTATGGTGTTAAAAAGTTCCACATGTACCTTTATGGCAGAAAGACCTTTACATTATTAACGGATCACAAGCCACTATTAGCCATTTTAGGACCAAAGAAGAGTCTGCCAGAATTAGTAGCAGCTCGTTTACACAGATGGTCAATAACCCTAGCTGCCTATAACTATGACATAGAGTATAGGTCAACAGCCAAGATGGGGAATGCAGATGCTCTGTCGAGACTGCCAGTCGATCAGGCTTCCAGTGGGGAATCATCGAGCATTTTGTTAGTAGACGCATGCGAGTTGCTGGTTGCATCGAAGCAAATTGCAAGTCAGACTAAGAGTGATCCCATATTATCTAGGGTTTTACAGTGTTTGTCATTAAATAATAAGGATGTATAGTCGGAGCAGCGATACAAGCCATTTACAGACGTGTGGTCAGAGTTGTCAGTTGTACAGGATTGTATATTCAGAAATACCAGGGTAATAATCCCGGACCGTTTGAAAGGTAGAGTTCTTGCGGAGTTACATGCCGAACACCAAGGTATTGTACGCTCATAGGCAATTGCTCGTACTTTCGTGTGGTGTCCTGGTATTGACAATGACATTGCGACATGTAAGAAATTGTGAGGGATGTGCATTCCAGCAGAACAATCCAGCTCCATGCAAAAGACACCCTTGGGAGACACCTAGTACTCCATGGCAGAGAGACACATTGACTTTGTAGGTCTATTTCGAGGTCACACTTTCTTGATTGTATTTGACTCATTTAGTAAGTGGCCTGAAGTTATACCAATGACCTCTACATCTGCATATAGCACCGTGAGAGTGCTCATGTCCCTATTTGCAACACATGGTATTCCTGAACAAATTGTGTCGGATAACGGACCTCAGTTTGTTTCAAGTGAGTTTGATAGTTTTTGTAAGGGGAACAACATCAAACACCTTCGTAGTGCTCCGTATCATCCCGCAACGAATGGTGAGGCAGAAAGATTTGTACAGACGTTCAAGTCTAACATGAAATGTAGAGGCAGTAGCAGATCTGGTCTCACCGCTAACATAAACAGGTTCCTACTATCATATAGATCCACTCCTCATGCAACCACAGGTTGTTCACCTTCATTTCTGTTGATGGGGAGGAGGGTGAGATGTAGGTTAGATGCAATGACACCCAAATTAGATGTGTAGAATTGTGAATATGAGAAGATTATATAGAGAATTTAACATTGGATATAAAGTATTGATAAGATCATATACTTCAGAAGAAAAATGGTTTGAAGGACAAGTAGTACAAAAGCTAAGTAAATTGCATTACA